CAGGAATGTGCTTCGTACAATTATTCATGGATGGTAAAATACCTCTAGAGTCAGTATCAGAAAACCCCATAACAATTTCATGGCACCCTGTCCTCTGCTCTCTAGAAACTGTTCTGAAGATTTTATCTGCCACGTTAACATCATTGACAATGGAAACTAAAGTGCCTTTGTTGCCCTTGTTAGGCTGAGCTGCACGTCTTTGTCATGGGACAATACCAGGGTGTTACTTTTCAGCAGAATATGTTGTTGCTAACCTGCTCTGATGGCTTCATTGTCCTTCCTTTTTATACCTTGAAATCTCTTCTCTTTTCCTCTTACCTCCTGCAACTCAGCCCAGGTCTAGCCTTTTATCTTCTCTGCCAGCCTGCCTGCATTTCTGCTGTGCTGGAACCTGCCCTGGCTTCCTGTCTTCCTCCCGACCCGCTTTTCAAAGCTTTTTCTCTTCCCCATCTCAGGTCTTTATCTTCTCCCATGAAATTCCCTACCTCTGCTACAACCTCCAACGTGCTTCCGTGCTCCCCATTCCTCTTGCTGTAACCATCCCTGACCACCTCTCTCCAGCTGCTCCTGCCTGAGGAATTTGTTCATTCATTGTGTTCCAGCTCTAAGCCCCAAGAGCCTATGACTGCACATATAAATGATGGGAATGCTGATAGTGTTAATAGATGATCACAATCTGTATCCACGCACCTGAGCAGGACTGTGTGATGATCTTCAAGGCCTGCTGTTTCTGCCTTTGAAACCCATGGTGGGTTGATGTGATCTAAAGGCAGTAGCTAAAGGGAAGAAAGCCAAGGAGGAGAGAAGAGGGAAATAAAGTTCCTGGTTGCTAAAATAGAACAGGATGTAAAAGGTAATCTTCTGGCTTCTTGGATACAGGAGTTTTGCTCACGTTCAGATGCAGTATGTTGATGAGGCAGGATTCAAAGACCTTGAGGGAAATCCCTAGGTTCCAGTGATGATGGGTCTGAGTCACCCATCCTACACCCCAACACTTGGAACTTGACATCCGCAGCTGGAGCAGCATTTCGCTCTGCATCTCTACCATGGCTGGAGCCAAACTCTCCAAGCAGAACTGCCAAAACACAGCGGGTTCAAAATACGCTGCTCTAAATTCTTTCTTCCTGTCCTAAGCTTCCCGTCTTTTAATTTTCCCTCCCTGCCTAATGAAATGCAGCTGATTGATAGACTCCTACCTTTCTTTTTTGCTACTGCTTCTCCTACAAGCCTTGACACAGCTTCCCTAAGTCCTAGGCTCTGTTCTCTTGCACTACCCACCTCAAATCGGGGCAGCGGGGTGAGAGCACCTCAGCCAGGCATTTTGCGACAATGGAACATGCTGGAAACACACATGAGAGATTGACACTAAATCAGTCGCATCTTGGGCGTCTAAGTCTGAGCTATCTGCCCCAGGCTGTCTTGGTAGACAACGAAGAGCAATAGGCACCTCCAGAGGCCATTCATCTGACCTATCTTAGACGCCTATCTTAGGCTGAGATGAATGGCCCTCTGGAGATGACTATTTCTCTTTATTGCCTACAAAGGGACCCAGGGGCAACTAGTTAAGGCTTAGATGTCCAACAGTGAGATGTTTAAAATTGGGCGGGGTGATTTCTACTCCCAGTGGTTATGTAAATAGGAACTGGATACACAAATATCTTCAACTTTTCAGCAGGACCAGTGAGTGTTTGTGCACAGATTGATTTGCAAACAATTCTCATCTTTTTCTATTTCAATAAAAGCTTGCCTGTCAAGTAGAATTAAGAATTTCAGCTGCAAGCCAAGGTTTGCGTGTGGTAAGGACAACAGCTCTCTTCTTTCAGTTAAATCAGTAACTTTCCTACAAAAATTTTAAAAATAGACCCAGTTTCCTCACAGATTCTATCAACATTAGATCCACACTGAAGTAGTCATTTCTCTCCTTAAAGGAATGGTTGTTCAAACTGCACTTAAGATTTAATCTTTTTTAGCTCCAGGAGATAAAAAGAAAGGAAAATGTAAGTGGCAGCAGATTCTCAGCTGCTGTAAACTGCCAGAACTCCACTAATTTTGGTGGAGCTTCATACCAGCCGATAACTCGCCTCTTGCTACACCAGCCAGACACAGTGGGATCCAAAGTCTCCAGAGTCTGCTAGACGCAGTCCTCCCCTCCCTAAATTGCATCAAACTAGGGAAGCCCTGGGATTTAAATGGAGAAAGATTGCTTTGAGCCCCTTGCTCTACATCTCCAGGGAGCTGCCCCATCGAACCCCAGGATATGGGTGTTCTGGACAGAGGGAATAAGGCAGCGATAAGCTCCGCTGGCTCCCAGCAGCACAGCAGACGAGGACTATGCTCCTCTCCTTGGTTCACCTGGCAGCTGCTTTGCATAGCACTGGCATCAGATCTGGTGCGAGTTTGCCTGGGGAGGTTTCTCTG